CTTAAAGGTATTGTCTCGTGAGAGATTTCACTTTTTTATGGCACTTGCGGGCTGAATCGGTGGATAATTTTAAGCCCGAATAAATTGCTGCATACTGTTGTATGATAGCTGGCGGATTTGTTGACGTCTTCATTACAAGTAAGAGCAAAATAAGAAAAAAAAACTTATTTTATTACCTGAAGAGAAGATGGAAAGGAGCAAAGACTGCCTTTAGCATTGCTGATTTCTGAACAAAATGAAAATGTAGTAGCTCGTAGGTCACTACTCTATTCACGAAGGCAAATAAGAGCTTGTCTTCGTTTCGCGAACTTCTCTACACTGTTGATTTAGTACTGAGTTTGTGAGTCAACAATGTTAACAACAGAAGTAGCGCAAACAAGAGCTATCCAGAAGACATAATAGTAATGTACTTATATATATATATATATGTACTTATATATATACATATATATGTATATACACATATATATATAATTTGTATAAATTTTTTGAAAAAATTTCAGGAATCAAAATTATGGATTATAATGGAATATTTGGGTGGTGGTTCAGCACTGGATCTGACGAAGAGTGGCAAACTAGAAGAGGCTCACATCGCTGTGATCCTACGAGAAATACTTAAAGGCTTGGAATATCTGCATTCAGAACGAAAGATTCATCGCGATATAAAAGGTTTGCGTTTTCATTGTTGGATTTTTTGTGCGCTTATTGCTCACTCTTGTTATTTGCTTGTTCAGCTGTTCAAACAGATCTTTCATTGCACCCACCCACACTGATGCCAAAATATGATTTTTTGCTGCTTTTTCAAATTCCCCAGGATTTCTCGAAAACAAGGGAATAACAGCAGAAGCAAAATAAATCACATAAAATTCAAAAATTGCTTTATAAAAATTCTTGTCGCCGAAAAAAATGAAAATATTTTTTTTTTGAATCTTCGCCTTTTTAATGATTCTTTTCTAGCTTTAATTGTTGATGATTCTTTCATACCTCAAACTGAAACTTTATTTCAGTTTGTTGAATTGCTGTCTTTAGTTGATCAATTAATATCATATTGTGGTTTTTATGTGTTTTTAAATTTGGCACTTGTGCGGATGGTAGTTGCAAATGGCTGTAATAACATTTGAGCAAAATGAGAAAAGAGGATGAATTGTGATTTTAGAGGTTTGGTTCTTCGGTGATGGGCCTTTTGGTTGGGGAAAGAATTTCTACTTTGAATATTTAAAATTATTATTGTAGTTTAATTGTCCAGCTATGCAGACCGCAACTTTTCTAGCTGCTTTGACCAATGCTGCATCGCGTACTGGTCAGTCTGATGGCGAATTCAAACGTTTGTTGCATCTCGTTGCGTGTTCCACATATAGCACCAGCAGAAGTACACGAGGGAATTTAAACTGATAAATGCGAAGGCTTAACCGTACATGTAACCCATTAACAACTAACGTATTTAATCGAATCAAAGCACTTACATTTACCGCGCACCAACATCTTCACCACTGGTGCATGCTGCGTGACATATGGTGAGCCAAGGAGCCAGAGCTGTGTTTCTCCATCGAATGCTTGTTGGTGGTCTGTTATCAGTGGTGGCTGCCAACAGTTGGTTAATGACAGTTATGTTGTCTAGCAGCGAATGTGCTTCTCAGTGAACATGACGCAGCAATTAAAATAGCCGATTTTGGCGTATCCGCGCAGACAACAACAACGAACAATAAAGCGGAGACATTTGTTGGGACACCGTTCTGGATGGCGCCTGAAGTGATTGAGAGAGACCACTACGACGAAAAGGTCACTCATTCTTCCTCTTCTTCGCATGCAGCGCTGAGTGTGTTAGGCCGGTCAGTGATGCGATTCATTCTCCACCAGTACCTCAAAATAGCAAATTTTGCTTGTTTGCTTAGTGAATGACGCATCTCTCATCGATCCTCTGGAACTTGTCCTTTCGAAGATGATGCAGGTGTTTTGAGGCGAAATGTGATCACACTGCTTTTCCACCAGGATGCACTTCATCGCTTACAATCCCCTTGTTTTATCATATATGTTGCTGCGTGATTTCGCTGCTTTACCTCTGTACACTGGAGCTTGAAAAGCGGTTGTCTGACACTTTCTGAGATGCAGACTACAAGCTTTCGAAGATTTTTTGGCTGTCACATATCTGTGCTTCTATGGTCGCAGTGAAACGATTTTCTCTGCCTAGAAAATGTTGGATGTATCGCAGTGGGAGCTTTCCGACAGACCAGTTCTAGTGTGATGTTACAAGAAGCTTTATTTTCCAATCTATTTTATCCTTTGCTTTGTGCTGTATCCGCCATTTTTGTGCATTGTGGTTCCTGCTTTTTCTAGTCTCGCTTAAACCCTCATTGCGTTCTTTCCTTCATCTGAAATGCTTTAGGTCTTTGTGCTTTTGCAGTAACGATCCTTTTACTCCTAAATAGCTTTTGTTTTGTCTATCTTCTTTCTGTTTTGTGTACG